TTCACACGGGAGCTGGGGCTTGGGAGGAGGGAGGGCCGGGAGCCCGCTCGCCCCGCCTACGGCCGGGACAGCCCTGCGTCCCCGGCCCGCGGGTGGAGCAAGTCTGAGAGTCTCGGTCTCCGGAGTCCACAAAGGGCCCCGCCTTGCCCCGCTTGCCCCACCGTCCAGGGACCTTCTGCCTCCTCCTTTCTCGTCTGGAGGCGGAAAGCCAGCTGAGCTTGGGAGCAGGCCTCTGCCCTCCTCCTCCCAGCGCTCATTCTAGAACAGAGGTCCACCTGTCAGAGACAGGAAGCCTGGGGAAGGAGAGCTGAGAGAGGAAGTCTGCGGCACAGGTCACCGTGTCACCCAAGCCAGTCCTCCACCCTGGCCCACACCTACCCAGTCACACCCTTCCTACCCCCACCCCCAGGCCCTAAAAGGCAAAGATTGGAAGGAACCAAGCTTGTTTTTCTCTTTTATTGAAATATATTTTCTGGGTAGTGCCCACCTACCTAACTCTGCATGGCCTCTTTGGCACTGAAAGCTGGAGAATAAAAAACCAGTAAAAAAAATAAGCCTGGATTTTTCTGAGTGCATAGTGCATGAGAACTAAAGGCCTTTGGTACACAAGAACTGTGGGACAGTGGGTGGAGGGTGGGGGCTAGGGGGTGGCAAAAGCTCGACCCAGGGGCCTCAGGGAACTGGGCACAGGCTGCTATAGATGAAGTGGCCAATGACCAAGGCCAGCATCTCCGAGGTGCCGCTCAGTGCCACAATGAAGGGGGCCTGGGAGGCGTAGTTGGCTTGAAGGCGGCGGAGGGACAGCTGCAGCATGGCCAAAGCCAGCAGGCTGTTCTGCACCCCCACCTCGAGGCTGACCGTCCGCCGCTGGGCCACTGGCAGCTTTAGGCATGTGGCCAGGCAGTAGCCCACCAGGAGGCCGACCAGGGGCACAGTGATGCCCACTAGCACGATGGGCAGCCTGACGCCCGCCAGGATGAAGACCCCCATGCGGTAGGCCAGGAAGAGGCCTCCCAGAAGCAGCACAAAACTGAAGGGCTTGATGACCTGCAGCAGCAGCTGAGAGAGCTTGGGGAGCTTGGACTTGATCAGCACGCCTGCTGCGATGGGAATGGCGATGAACAGCAGGCTCCCCAGGATCTTGGAGATGGGCACATGGAGTGTTTCGTGGATGCTCAGCAGGCGGCTGTAGATGGCTGAGGACAGTGGCAGGAAACCAGTGGCAGCCACTGTGGAGATGAAAGTCATGGAGATGGCCAGGGTGACGTCCCCTCCAAGGAGGAGGCTGAAGAGGTAGCTCCCCCCGCCTCCGGGCGATGAGCAGGTGATGATGAGGCCCAGAGCCAGGGCCTTGGGCAGCATGAAGACCTTGGCCATCAAGAAAGCGTAGAAGGGCATGACTAGGAACTGGCCCAGGAGGCCCAGCAGCATGGGCTGGGGGCTCTGAAGGAGCCCCTTCAGAACCTCGAGCTCCACTTTGCACCCGAACGAACACTTGTTGACAAAGATAAGAGGCAGGAGCAAGTAGAGTATTGGGTTCTCCGAGAAGTGGACCAGGTCGGCGCCGAGCGTGGCGGGGGCGTCTTCGGCAGGGGACACCTTGATGCAGAAATCTCTCCGCTCGTCGATCAGCATGGGTGGGGTCTCATGGGGATCCACAAGCTGGATGTGGAGCGGGGCTAGCCCGGGCAGGCCTGAGTGGATGCTCACCACGAAGCTGCCCCCACTGCCCCAGGTTATGGCACTCACATTCTTGATGGTCAGCACCTCTGGATCCAGGGAGGTGACCCGCAGCATAGGGCTGGGCCCTGGCCAGGTGCCCTGACCCGGGTACTGGCTCGAGATCACAATGATGCCCTCGCTCTCCTCTGGGAACTCGAACTCCACCACGGAGCCATCCCCGATGCTCAGGTAGCGGCCCCCTGGCGGTGGCCCAGGATGGCCCAGAGCCATGCTGAGGTTGGCATGGGAAGTTCCCTGGGCCCCCAACGGCAGGCTGAGAAGTAGCAGGGCAGCCCTGAGCATCCCCAGGGAGCCTGTGCAAACACTGCCACCTCCCAGGCCAGGCCATGACCGAGAACTGCCCCTCCTAAACACCATGGCTCCTCCCGCAGGATGGCGTGCCCGGGCCCTCAGCTCCTTAGGACAGCAGCTCCGCAGGTGCCTTCGGGTTGTCTTGAGAAGGGTGCATGGGTGGGGTCTGGTCTTGTGCTGCCTTCCTTGATGGCAGGGCTCTTCCTGAGGAGGAGGGACACACAGAGGTGGCTGGTGAACGTGAGCAGCAGTGAGCCCAGGAGCACGGGAACCTGGAAGCCCACTGCTGGGAGACTCAGCAGGGGCCCTGGCCCCAAGCCTGGGAAGGGAAAGGCAATGCCTAGTGCTGGCCCTTGAGTGCCATCTGGCTGGCCCCTCCCCCAGCACATCTGCCTCAAGCTTACCATCCCTCACCCAGAGGGGCCACCTGCACATAGGAGTTCCTGCTCAGCCTGCCTACACCTGCCGACTTCCCTGGGCTCACCTCCAGCATGGTGGCCCTGTGGAGATGTCCTGACATGAAGGGATTTGGGAGAGCCACCCCCGATCCTGCCACCACTAGCCTGCTTCCCACTGGCTTCAAGACACAGCTACGGTGGGCCGGCGGCAGTGCCACAACTGGGATGAAATGTCTGAAAGACTCCCCGGGGCGACAAGGAGACAAGACCAGGGAGAGCAAAGGGTGCCGACGGGAAAGGCTGGCTCAGGCCAGGTCCGAGAGGCCATCGGAGAACAGGTTAGGGCATTGGAGTACCATCTGTCAGGCAAAGAGCAACCGGCAAAGTGTATGGGCAGCAGTAGGTGACCATCGGGCCAAAGGCCCCAGGGACTGATGTCCACCACTGACATTGACATGCAGTTGTGAGCAGTGCTGCCATAGCTACCTGGCCTACCCTACCTGTCGACAGTGGTGTGAGGGGGTTCTGGCGGGGGAGCAGGTCCCCTCTCCCCAGAGTTGCCGGAAGGGGCAGCAGGAGGGCCACATGTCTGCTAGGGGGCTTCTCCTTCCGTCGGGTCCCAGAATTTGAGTCCCTAGAGCCGCTGTGTCATATCTTGGAGGCTCTGCTTGCAGTCCTGGGGCTCCTCCCGCACCCACATGAAATCCTACCACGGCCTGGAACTCCCAGTGGGACTGAGTGTTTCTAGAGGGCTGGGAGCCTCAGGGTGAAAGGAGGGGGTTCGCCTGCTTCCACTTCTCAATTTGGACGGCCCCACCCTATTGTCACATCACCTGATGGATCTGGGGCAACCAGGATTGGGACACTGGTTTTTCATTGCTAGTTGTTGGTTGCCTCATGCCCTGTGCTGTCCTGGTCCTGGGAGAGGCTGGGGCCCCTCTAGATCCTGTGGGTCCTTGACCCTGGTCTCCCTCATCCCAGACTGGGGAGCAGGGGAAGTACCAGGTGGAGGGCAGGTTAAGCAAAAGGCTCCTCTGTGGGAAAGTCTCCCCTCTGCCCCTCGGGGATGCCATGGCCTCTGCTGGTTTGGAGTTTGGGTCACTTACCCTAGAGGCTTTGGTCCAGCCTTGGGTCCCACCGCTGAAGAGGGAGGCAGGAAACCCAGAGGGAGTGTAAGGAGCAAAGTGGAGGGGAGTCCCAGGGAAAAGATGAAGGCGCCCGGGCCCGAAGCCCGCCGGGGGGCGTGAATCACTTCAGAAGAGAGAGGCTAAGGGCCATCCACCCTGATCCTTCCCGAACAGCAGGCAGCTCTGTCTGAGTCACTGAAAGAGGGGTCTGGCCCAGATCTGACATCATTTCTGCTTGAAGGGCCAGAAGAGTTTGAACAGATGCACCCCAAGGCAGGGAAGGGAATCCCGGGCGGCCGCTTTTTCCACAGAGGCCGAGTGTCCGATGTTAGGGCAGTTGGCAGTGCTGACGCGGGGCCCCTCCCTACCTGGGAGTCTGGAAGTTGCACGACTGGGCACGGGCAGAACTCGGGCGTGAACCCGGGAGGGAGAAAGGGGAGGGGGGCGCGCCGCTGCCGGGCTCGCGCTACTGCCCCGCAGCTG